TTTTTATTCTGACCATAAACCATTATTATAAACCAAACTTTACCTGGGGTAATTTAAAATGTTACACACAAACTTTGGGCCCGATCAGTTCAGCCGTAAAAAACTGACTAGCAAAGTATATATATTCAACGAACATAAATTGCCCAGTTTATAAAAAGAATAAAAGGTATGTTTACTAAAAGTGTACTCTGTAACCGGGGAGGATAAAAACAAACTTTATCCAACATATTGCATTACACTTTTACACTTTTTTTGTAAACAACAATTATCAGGGTTTCTGTTTTATCTTTGATCATGATCAAAGTATAAAGTTTCATAAGAATCAGCAAAAATTCATTAACGAAACGAACATCTAATTTATAAAATTAACGGATGATTCCGTTAACGACAGGCAAATTCGTTAATTTTGAAATTGTTAATGAAGAAATAACTGTTCATGAAAAAAACGCAAAATTAAAAAAGAATAAACGGAATCGGATTTGTTTGAAAATAAAATTGCATGAAACTTACAGAAAATAAAGGATAAATTTTAATATTGTTTATTGTGTTTTGTGTTCTGTTTTTTTAAAATTCTCCCTTCTATTTTTGCATGAAAGAAAGCTGGTGCCGTTAACGATTTATATTAATAATGAAAAAAAGGTCGCTGGCTTGGAATCAAAATAGTTTAGTACACAGTTTTGTAGTCTTATAATGATTTTCTGTGGTGCAATTAAGAATCGCGCCAGCGATACGAACGATTGGTTAAAAATGTAATAAACGTATCATCTTTTTTATTTATCCAGATTTTTGTCAGTTAACTAATATTTCACATTCGCATATCAGAACAAGGACTGCACTGTATCTTAAGAAAGAAAGAATGACAAGAAAGGTATTAAAGCTTTTACTCCGTTTGCGAAATATTAGGTTAAGGAATTGAGTCTTTGTAACAAAATCAAATATTTAAACCCCAATATCTTTAGAACCCGATGTTGTAAACCTTTGATATTTCAAACTCTGATTATTTGATTCACAGTTTGAAATATCTACAACATTTGGTTCCAAAGATTTAGTGATTAAAAAATCATATTTTGTGACAAAGACTCAATTCCTTTGTTAAAAGATTAGACTTACTTCACTTATAGCATGGTACACTATTCACTTGTTTATATGTTTAACAGAGCATTTAATAATAAACCTAACTTCAAGTCACCCTCCATGCAAAGATAGCAATGCCCGATTTACAACGGTACCCTTAAAAACGTTGACTGATTAAGTAAGAATTAGATATCAATGTTTTTGTTTCTTTAAACTGTTTGTTTTCACTTGCAGTTTCTCTGCAAAAGTGAGTTGAGCATTTCTTGTTTATAAGAGGCAACGAAGTAAACACAGAAATAAACACTTTTTGAGTTAGATAAACCACGGTGTTTAAGGGTACCTTTATAAATCTGGCATTTCCATCTTTGCATGGAGGGTTCATTGAAATTACGTTTACAGTCCCTTTAACTATACTAGGTGTCTCTCTGTATGGTTCCACTTGGGAGTTTGCGAATAGTAGCCTGGTGTGTATGTGAAGATTTTAAACCCCTCCCACATGTAATTTATTCTACTCCGCTTTAGGAATCTCAGGTCGTACTTTATAGAAACCCCCCTTCCTCTCTCTTTCCTTCGTACTCTCTATATCTCCTGCCTAGCGAGGTAAGAGAAGGAATAAATAATAAGACGGAGAGAAAACTATTGTAGTCATTCCGTATCAAGCACTCGGTTTACACCCCACAAAAAGTATTTTTAAAAATATTTGATGTTTAATTTTTGGAAGCGAGGCTAGGGAATAAAAAAAGATGTGGACTTGGAAATATTAAAATAGGTAGATATTTTAGTACACCTCTGAAGTAAAGAATAATAATCTCTGTTTGTCTTTCTCATCATAACTCATGAACCCCTTGACATAGTTGCCTCAAATTTTGATTGGGTAACTTTGAAAAACCATGGGAAGGTTCTTAGCTAGGCTATGAGATTCTAGGTTGAGTGCCGGTCCATGTTTATAGGGAAACATAGCTAAAATCGTAATTAAAGACTGAGCGCGGGTAAACGGCGTAAGTAACTACGAGAACCCTGGGAAACGCTGGGTTCCCAAGCTAGTTCATCAATAAAACACTTACAGTATCCAGTACAGTATCCAGTACAGTATCCAGTAAGTATCCAGTACAGTATCCAGTGCAGTATATGCAGTTTAGTATCTGCAGTTTTGTATCTAGTACAGTATACAGTACAGTAACCAGTACCGTATCCAGTAAGTATCCAGTACAGTATCCAGTACAGTATCCAGTACAATATCCAGTACAGTATCCAGTACAGTATCCAGTACAGTATCCAGTAAGTATCCAATACAGTATCCAGTACAGTATATGCAGTTTATTATCTGCAGTTTAGTATCTAGTACAGTATACAGTACAGTAACCAGTACATTATCCAGTAAGTATCCAGTACAGTATCCAATAGTATGCACTACAATATCCAGTAAAGTATCTGCAGTTTAGTATCTAGTACATTATTCAGTACAGTATCCAGTACAGTATCCTGTACAGTATCCAGTACAGTATCCAGTACAGTATCCAGTACAATATCCAGTACAGTATTCAGTACAGTATCAAGCATAGTATCTAGTACAGGATCAAGTACAGGATCCAATACAACAGGATTCAGTAGAGTATCTAGTACAGGATCCAGTGCAGTATCCTGTACAGTATCCAATACAGTATCCAGTACATTATGAATTATAGTATCCAGTACAGTATCCTGTAAAGTATCCAATACAAGATCCAAAACAGTATTAATTATAGTATCCAGTACAGCATCCAGTACAGTATCGATTAACGTATCCAGTACAGTATCCTGTATATAGTATCCAGTACAGTATCCAGTACAGTATCCTGTATATAGTATCCAGTACAGTATCCAGTACAGTATCCAGTACAGTATCCAGTACAGTATCCCGTACAGTATCCTGTATACAGTTTCCAGTACAGTATCCTGTATACAGTTTCCGGTTAAGTATGAAAGTTAACTCACGGAATTAATTTATTCCGTAGGTTAGATATTCCACGTGTTAAAAATATCATTTCATTCAAAAGATACTGCCTCAGAATAAAAAAAAATCTAATATAATTTCTTTAACTTTGTGCTAAAAAACCTGCTCTCACGTGTAGATTTTGAATAAAAACCCCGTAAAAAGGTGTAAATAAGGTTAATGTCCACGAGTTAGAGAGAATTTAAAAAATGGACAAATTGTCAAGATGAAAAGAATATTTATGTTTAATATATTGGGCCTTGGGGAGTATTATGTGCATTTGAGGAGGCTAGATGGACATGTCTCAGGGGACCTATAAGAGGTGGTGCCAGGTCCCTTGTTTTAGTTCGCCCCTGGACATCCCAATCCCAACCCCTTTATGAATAAAACGGACACGGACCATTTATTTCCATTCTTAATTTTACAATTAAATTTTAGGTCTGAGCTGCTGTAGAGTTATGGTAGTTCTCTCACTCTGTACACTGACATTTCTTCTCCTGGTAAACCACTGTGGTGGAAGAAGACGTGGCCGTCACAATCCTACTCCGCACCCGGAGCAAATTCTAAACCATCCTGTCTGGGCAAAAGAAATTCTTGATCCCTGTTACGTTCACTTAAGGGGAACAAATCGGGTGAAAAGAGACATTGAAGTTGAGCTAGATTTAACTCTCAATGATTGGTTTTCAAACCTGTCACCTTCCCTGAGCACCATCTCCCCCCTCCTAGATTCTCTACCCTTCTCTACACATGAAACCACACCCCCACCTGCAGTTGGATTCAGCCCCACCCTCAGAAATTCTTTACTTAACCTGCGATCCTTGGTTGGCTCANTCCTTCGAGAAATGACATTTTTTCCTTTCCCCTTTTACAAGTTTGCCCGAACCCAAAATACTTCTATAAAAGTCCCTGGTCCCTGGTCCCTGGTCCCTGGTGTGCTAGATATATTTGAAAGAAGGGTCTATAATACGCAAAGAACAACTAAAATAATAATATTATAGTGTTATATTGAAATATTTAAACTACAAAAAAACTGCATTGATTCTCATTCCACATTAATCTGGGTTGAACCTCTTTGGTTCTTCATATTTGTATTTAACTTGGAGATTCAAAACTAACGTACATGGTACAACGATACATATTATACCCTATTCCTCACTTTCATCTTAGGTTGGATGTCTTAAATATTAGCGCTATTAAATATTACTAGTATGGTTCTATGGTGCTATTTTATCATTTTTGTAAAGTTTTAAACAATTTTGGAAATTCAAAGAAAGGAATCGAGTCTTTCCCACAAACTCAGATTTTTCTGAGTCCTATCTCTTTGCATCAAAATGTCATAAACTTTAGATATTTCGAACTAAGAATTTTTTTAAGATCAAATAATCTAAGTTTGAAATATCAAAGGTGGTAGAGATATATTGGGATTGGAACGTTTGAGTAGTGCAGAAAATATTACTGAGTTGTCTTTTTTCTATTTAATAAAGCTCTTCGCTCATATCATATATTTATATATTTATATGTTAGCTATTATAGCTGGCCAAACGGATATACCAAATGTGCTAAAAAATTTTGAGAAAACCCATGGGAGTAATATAAAAATTTCCAAATTTTATTTTCAAAATTCAAATTTATTTTTTCAAACTTCACACTTATTATCTAATAGCAATTGTAAATCTGTGATGGCATTCCAGGGTTGAACTAGATAGTTTCTCCAAAATATCTTTAACCCTGATATTATCTAGGGTGTAGATGAGTGTGAAGGGTTGAACCTGGATAGTTTCTCCTAAATACCTTTAAACCCTGATATTATCTAGGGTGTAGATGAGTGTGTAGGGTTGAACCTGGATAGTTTCTCCCAAATACCTTTAACCCTGATATTATCTAGGGTGTAGATGAGTGTGTAGGGTTGAACCTGGATAGTTTCTCCCAAATATCTTTAACCCTGATATTATCTAGGGGGTAGATGAGTGTGTAGGGTTGAACCTGGATAGTTTCTCCCAAATACCTGTGATAGATCCTCAAACCGCCTTCATACCTGCTGCACTCAACTTATACAGGTGAAACAAAAAACACAAAGAATTGTCAATGCAATTTGAGAAATGATGTATCGAAATAATAGAATTATAAATTTTTTAAGAAATTGGGAAATGATTATGAAAATTGGAAAATGGCTAAAAAAATTTTTTTTAAAATTCTAATTGAATTGTAAAACAATGAAACAATTTTAATACGACTAGAAACTGCTTGAGAATAGCTCACGCGAAATTAAAAAATTACTCTGGAAATTGGGAACTGACTTTTTGAGGAAATGACTGTAGTAAAATGGGGAAATGCCTATGAAAATGGGGAAATGACTAAATAGAAATTGGGAATGGTATACTTAAACTTAACAATGACTATGGAAATTTGAAAATACTAACTGCGAATTAGGAAAATGAAATGTGTATCTTTCTTTTAATTGAACATACGTTTATTTTCTAGGTTTTTAAGTTTGTCCCGGGCCCACTTATTCTTCATGATAAACGACTGGCAGCAGGGTCCAGCTATGCCTTGTGATGGGATGAACAGGGCTGCTGAAGTTTATCATCATATTAAAGGGTAAGACATTGACATGTTTCATCTATATAATATGCGCAATAATAGAGCAACACTTGATCTGTACCTGGCTAACTTATTTATCCAAATCAAAATTAATCTCATTGCATGTCACAAAAAAATTGGATTGGTAGGACAAACATTTATTTTCCATTGTCTCATTTATCATCAGAAAAATAATACAAGGAATTGAGTTTTGCCACAAACTCTAATTCACTAATCCCTATATCTTTGCAACCTGATAGTGTAAACCTTTGAGATATCAAAGGTCTTCAACATCGGGTTACAAAGATATAGGAATTAGAAAATCAGAGTTTGTGGCAAGAACGCAATTCCTTTCACGCGTCATTTTCTAAAACTTACTACATGTATAGCAATAGTTGTGCAATTTCTTAAATGTTTCTTTTTTGAAAATAAACAGATAAACATATCTTATTATTATCAAACGCAGTTTTTTACGAAATTTGGTAAAAATTTCCTGAAATTTAATTAAAAAGATCTCACACAAAAAAATCCTAAAGTTTTCTGAATAATATTGAAATTACTTTAAGAATTTCTAAATCAATATAATTTTGTTCGACATTACGAACAGAATGTTAAGGATGAAAAAAATTACATTAATGATGTTACCTTCATTCACGTAAAGCTAAACCTAAAATCTAAACATAAATAAAATGTAATATACACGATATGCACGATATACACGACACAGTACAGAACACAAATATACACGACACAGTACAGAACACAAATGTAAACGACACAGAACAGAACACGAAATATAAACTACACGGTACAGAACACAAATATACACGACACAGTACAGAACACAAATATAAACGACACAGTACAGAACACAAATGTAAACGACACAGAACAGAACACGAAATATAAACTACACGGTACAGAACACAAATATACACGACACAGTACAGAACACAAATATAAACGACACAGTACAGAACACAAATATACACGATACAGTTCAGAACACAAATATACACGATACAGTACAGAACACAAATATACACGATACAGTACAGAACACAAATATACACAACACAGTAAAGAACGCAAATATACACGACACAGTACAGAACACAAATATACACAACACAGTTCAGAACACAAATGTAAACGACACAGTACAAAAGTGACGAACTCTGCGATAAAAAGGAGAAAAAGGTCAAATGTATAGGGTACCTTCCTCCTACAACCCGTAGCTCCTCTAGCCTGAGCTTATTCGGTTATATTTCAAGAAATTCAAATCACCCAGACAGAACAAACACTAGTCTGAGAGAATATCAGAAATATGAGGACGACATTCAGAAATATGAGGACGACATTCAGAAATAGATTTTTTTATTTTTCTTGCGAGGTGGGGTAAGCATTACAGTTAAACTATGCGAGGTGGGGAAACCAATTTTATTATGAGCCACTTTTAAGAAAATAAAAATAATTGATTTAAAGAATATAAATTTTTTTAATCTACGAAATTTTTTGTTGAAATCCGCGAACTTTTTGTTATGTTTTACAAAGAACACAAAGAGAACTTGTTCACAATTGAAATAGAAGATGGTCACGAAGCGCCCTAAAAGACTAGTACATATAATCACAAAGAATAACAAGAAACTAATTGCATGTTAAATGTACATAGTTCAACTATACTCATGGTAATATAGTAAACAAAATAGAATGTTGTAAACATTTACGTTATAAAATGACACAAATTTGTATTGCAAGGGGTACTAATGTATCTTTATTGTACAAATATGTATACTCTTGTCTTCAATGAACTTATAGAATGTCGTCTTCTAAATATATTCGAGCCTGGTGTTTGTCCAGTCTGGCTTATGTGAATTCAAATCATTTTTGTTCTTTTCACACTCCTCTTCCACTCTAGTAATTGTAAATTGGCGGTAAATTCAAAGTAGGACTGCAAAGGTTGGCCCAGCTCGGATATTCAAATGTACACCGACGGGGCTTATTCTCAATTTTATGTAAATGCTTAAAACTGTAATTCTTTAACTTAGAATTTGAAATCATTAATTAAAAAAGGGTAGGTTTAAGTGGTTTCTTTTAATAGATAAGCCCACACGAATTCTTATTCACAAAAAAGTGTACTTAGAATTTTCATGGAAAATAACCTTTCTCTAAATAAATACAAGAGATTATTCAACGATCTAAAAATATAATTGTATACATTGTAAAACAAAAAAATCAAAAAGTTCGCAGATTTTATAAAAAAAATTTCGTGGAATTTTCAAATTTTATTGAAAATCGAACTTTGTTGGAGGGAAAATTTTGAAATTTTGTTCATCCATAAACCTTCCCTGAGAAAATGTGAGGTCCCACGCGAAGTTTGGTCCCGATCGGTTCAGACGTTTTGACATTGGACACTAACAAACAAACATCCAAACAGACAAAGTGTAAATATATAGATATAAAAAATAATTATAAATTTCCCGAACCCGGCAAAAGCGCAACGGTTATTTGACTGAAAGTGTTTGATCTATTTAGCGCTAGAGAAATTGTTTGATCTGAGTTTCCTTGAATTACTAATCAAATATTTTAGGATTGAGAAAAGGCTGAGGGACTTCCTGTGTAAACTCAAGCTTGAGTTAATAGATGCCGGGGTTCAAGATGCGGATATTCAAGCTGTTGTAGAACCTTCACTTAGTGTACAGATATACAGATATCCATCATGTACAAGCAGGTAGAGTGTACAGTGTACATGTACAGCTTAATATACAGATATACAGATATCCAGCATGTACAAGCAGGTAGAGTGTGCAGTGTACATGTACAGCTTAATATACAGATATATAGATATCCAGCATGTACACGCAGGTAGAGTGTACAGTGTACAAATACACATAATACAGAAATACAGATATCTATTATGCACAGGCAGGTAGAGTTTACAGTGTACACTTTACATTTTCGTCGTCATGTAATTTGTACAAGCAGGTAGAGTGTACAGTGTACATGTACAGCTTAATGTACAGATATACAGATATCTATCATGTACCAGCAGGTAGAGTGTACAGTGTACACTCTACATTTTCGGCGTCATGTAATTTGTAAAGATATATCCATCATGTAGAAGCAGGTAGAGTGTACACTGTACAGTGTACACTAATGTACTATATAGAAATCTTTATTCATAAAGAGAAATTTCCTATGTACACCGTACAGTAAATACTGATAACTTTGCAACGTATATATACCATAAAAGAAAAAAAAGAAAAATGTGATAGACAATGTATTGTATTGTACATCATCAATTATATTTCTATGTTTAAACCCAAATGATGTATTTAGGAAGATGAGAGATTGTCTGGTCATGAGTAAACTACAAGAGCTTTTTAATCTTCCATCCCTACTGCTGGATATACAGGATATACAAGATACACATGATCACACTTCTCATACTTCTGCATCTAACGAGTCTGGTTGAGCTAGGTAAACAGTTTACCAGATATAATATCAGAAGAATAAGAAGTTAATATGGCAGAAACACCATACGTGGAAAAATCAGAACTAGAAGTTTTAATAGTATCTGATACACACACAGCCGGTGTACATTTGAATATCCGAGCTGGGCCAACCTTTGCAGTCCTAGTTTAGACTGTACCGCCAATTTACAATTATTACTAAAGCGGCGCGCAGACCTGTGTGGATATGCCTGAAGACGAGAGAATAACGAAGACCATAAACGTTAAAAAATAGTTATTACTTCGAATCCATGGCATCAGAAGTGAACTATCTGACAAGAAAAAAAACTATCTGACTGACGTATCAGAAAAAAAGCTAATTAAAAAGATCTGACAAATCAGAATTTTTTTATTCCATCAGAAAAAATCTATCTTAACAATAAAAAAATAGGTATCTGATTACTTATCAGAAATCGACTTTCTGGTGTATTAATGACGAATAGTATTCGAAATTGTACTTTGTTAACAAACCGTCCATTGTAATTTGCTTCTGTATAGAAAATAAAAAAGTAAATTAAAAAATGGACAAATATACTGTTTTTTCGTTCCAAAACGTTGAAATTTGGCATGCTATCGTTAATGCATGCCAAATAAAAAAAAATACTTTTGTTGTTTGTCCATAAACTTGGACAAACAACAAAAGTATTTTTTTATCGAAAAACTATCTGAGAGGCCGGCTCATAAGAAAAAAGACAAAAACACATTGCGTGTAATAGAAAGACAGCCAACCCAGCATTCTTACAGATATAGCTCCAAAATTATTATTTACGCGATCAACTTTAGTTTGATCTGTCAATCATTATCCATTCAAAAATGCGTGATGAAACTTTTAAAATTTGTCATTCAAAATTCATGGAATTAAGATAAAATATAAAACCCAAAAATTGTTTATTTAATGAATTAAAATGGGTTCGAAAAATGAAGGTTTTCTGGTTATAAAACCTGGACATCAGTATTACTATGATGTAAAAAAAATATATGTATAAACTGTTACCAATTTTAACTAAACTGAATTATGTGAATTGCTTGTATTTTAGATATAATTCTCTTTATTGTATAAGAATTTGATGCTCCAAAGTGGAACTTTCTCATATGCCCGTGAATTAGATTTTTTATCATAATCATCTTGATATTTGAATTTGAAGTAAAATAATTGTTTGTGTCTAGATTCTCGCTCCGGTGAAAAAAAAAACTGATTTGAAAAGTACCTTTACAATTTCCCCTTATTACAATGTACAAGTATAAGGTACCTGCTGGGAATTATGTATAAAGTTAAAAATATTTATCTATTTAAATTTTGAATAAAAAATATAATCATATTCTAGAGGAATAAATTTTTTGAAATGTCTTGTGAACATTTTTTATTACATTAAAATTATGATTTAATCTGAAAAAACTTTTTAACAGAATTTCAAGTTTTTAATGCAATCTTTTGACACAAATTATAATTTTTAATAATTTAAAACTAAAACTAATTGGTCTATAAGAATTTATAATTAGAAATATCAAAGCTCTACACCATCAGTTTGCAAAGATATAAGGGTTAGGATAGTAGAGTTAGAAACAAGAGCCCTAACCCAATAAGCAGGCATAAGGTCAATTCAGTAAAGGTTTTAAACAGAAAACAAGAAACAGAATCGCCAATTTCAGGATTTTGATTTTTAATTTATAAAAACAGCATTGACAAAGGAATTGAGTTCTTTTAATAGCCTCAATCTTTGCAACATGATGGTGTAAACTTTTAATATTTCAAACTTAGACTTTTTGATTTAAATGAGTTTTCAGTATACGACATCGAATTGCAAAGATATAGGGATTAGAAAATTTAGGTTTGTGGCAAAGAGTCAATTTCTTTGGACTTTCCTACTAATATATGCCCATCATTCAGGCTAAAAGTCCTCAGGCATACCATACTGCCTTAATGCTTTATTTTTGCTAGTTCGAACATAACCCCTATTCCGATTTTAGTGATTTTATTCAACATTTTATTGCTTTTTATATAATTGTCTGGCTAAACAAGATATATTGAGTTGAGAATTTTTAAAAAAATCATTTGAGACCTTTAAGACGTTTTTACGGTATATAATTGATAAGTAGCTCTGCAAAATCAATCTTTAACATCCAAAGAGGATTAAAGATCGATTTTGCAGAGCTGATCAGAATGGAAAAAAAGACCAGAAAGACAGAGACACTCGGGATACAGAGCAGCCAGGAAGGACCTCTAGGATATGCAGAATCTCCATATTCTCGACCTGGTTCTCTTGACAGGGACACCTGAGATAAAGAGCAGCCAGGACCTCTAGGATATGCAGAAGCTCCATATTCTCGACCTGGTTTTCTTGACAGAGACACCCAAGATATGGAGCAGCTTGAATACCAATATATATAATATTGACTCCAGGTGAAGAGGAGGATCTACTAGAACGCGATTTATCGTCCTTCAGACATGATTGAGAGAACAGGAGGTCTACAGATAAAAGGATCAGAGATGGAGGAAGCTGCTTTCTTGCAAGCAGCTCCCCATCATCCCGTTTTAGAAGCAGATTACTTAGATTTGGAGTTGGTGCTCATCCAGTTTCCTTTCCAGACCCAGAAAGCCCTTTAACTCCAGGAGCAGATAGGATTACAACAGAAGCAGTCAACGAATCAGCTGGAGATTAGGAAGCTGTTGTGGGCCAACTACAGGCTATTGTGGAAGTAGCTACTCAGATATGTCCAGACTTGGAGCATCTAAATGAGATATTTGAGTTCAGAGTTCCTGAACCAGAGCAGCTGAATGAGGCTGAAGTAGCTACTCAGATACGTCCAGACTTGGAGCATCTAAATGAGATATTTGAGTTCAGAGTTCCTGAACCAGAGCAGCTGAATGAGGCTGAAGTAGCTACTCAGATACGTCCAGACTTGGAGCATCTAAATGAAATAATTGAGTTCCGAGTTCCTGAACCAGAGCAGATGAATGAGGCTGAACTAGCTACTCAGATAAGTCCAGACTTGGGGCATCTAAATGAGATATTTGAGTTCAGAGTTCCTAAACCAGAGCAGCTGAATGAAAGACTCGAATCTAGAGGAGCTGCACGGATGAATCCAGACCAGGAGCAGCTATATGACAAACAAGGGAATATTTAAGGACTGTTTATCGGAATTATCTAAGGACTAGACAGAGGACTGCTATACTTGAAGGATTACTCAGGGATTATAACCATCCAAGTCTCTTTCTTCCACTGTCTATATTTATATAGGCCCAACAGGACCATTAGAGGAGTTAAACATGCTCACTGCTCAGGACCATCCTAGATAGACAGAGGACCAGTATATTCTCCTTAGCTAACGCAGGTTCTCTCAATCATCTAATTAGGACCTTTGTAAACAAACTTTACAGACGTATTCAATAAATAAACTATTACACTGATCAGTCCCAATTCATTTATACTCTGAGAGATCCATATATGAGGTTATTAAAGGGATCGATACTAAAACAAGAGTCGAGGGATCTAGAGTGAAATATTTGCATAAACCCTAAAGTGGGTGCAATTGATTGATCTCGAAAATCCCTAGGATTTAAATCTGGCTTGTATTTGATAAAAGACAATAATCATTACAATGTTACTTACCGCGGAGCAGCAAGCAAGTTCTTTAAACAAACAAATTGTTTTTAACAAGATAAGAATAATTTTCAAACAAGTATTAATGTATTCAAAGTGCTATTTCAGTCCTGACTGTAAAATAAATTATATTGTTATAAATTTGATTTTTTTTTAAATGTTAGGTATTAATTGATCGAACTCTTAATTCTGTCTTGAAGGAAAGTGTTAAAAAAATCAATAAATTTTCTTATCTAATCATTTTTTGTGTGATTTTAAGCATGCACATAGATAAATATCACAAAACAAATCTACAAATCCATCCTTTCTTATTTTGAATAATGTTATTCTAAACGAGGTCTAATCTGAGATAAGCAATGTTAAATATGTATAACAACCTAATTAGTTCTGGTCAGTGCTAATAATACACATTTTAAATATTTTCCTTTATTTCATTTAAAATTTCTTGCTATAATAGTCATCTATTTAATACATATATATGTATGTATGTTGCGTATAGCCGGACAAACCGCTGGAACGATTGGGCTGACATTTTTTGTGGACATATTTTTTAAAATATTTTTTTTTTCACATTTTTTTTACGGGCAACGCCGGGACCTTAAGCTAGTCTTTATTATAAAACAAGACATTCGTATATATATATATGTTGCCTATAGCCGGCCAAATGTCTGGACCGATTGGGCTGAAATTTTTTGTAGACAATCATGGGTGTAACAGCTTAAATAAACCTAAAAAATATTTCCAAATTTTTTAAAAAATATTTTTTTTCTCGAATTATTTTTTGCCACGGGCAACGCTGGGCCCTTCAGCTAGTTTCATATAAGATTAGCACCGTCTCAAACTCTGCAACCTCACTGAGCCCAAAACTTAAGACAGAGTATCGTTAGTAAAACCAGTTTTAAAACCCGGGTTTCACGAATGGGGTTAGGCACTTTTGTGATTATCAATATTTTTGTAATGCCATATTATTTCTTCAGTTTTTTTATATTATCCATTTTTTTCGAATCTCTTAAATCAAAATCTACACAAAAGTAAAGACCCCAAAAAGAAAATTCGGAAGTTTTTTTCAACGATACTCTTTTAAATTTAGGCCTCTGGGGTCTATACTCTACTAGAGATGGGCATAGTTTTTGTGAACGAACAAAATTTTCCAAAAGGAATAAAAGTTTTCGTAAAGGATGGTGTCGGACAGGAACATTAACGAAGGATATAAGAACGAATTGAATTGATCAGAAAAATAAAAAACAAACATTTTTTTAACAAACGAAAGGAACAAAAACACAAGATCTGTCAGACCATAGGTGAACGATTTGATTTCTAAATCGTTTGTTCCAACGAACTTGAAAAAAAATGACCGGTTTTTTACTGAACGAACAAATTTTTAAACACTTGTTTGTTCAGTAAAAGAAACTATTTTATTGAAAGAACGATTTTACTGAACTAACAATTTAATTGAACGATTGTTCAGTTAGAAAACGAACTAAATAGATGGAAAAATAAAGAAAAATTCAAATTAAAAAAAAATTTCCGACCGACCGGAAAAACTAACAAATAGGTCATTAAAGTCCGATGAACGGATGAATTGAAATAAAGCTGGAGGCGCCCATCGCTCTATTATGCAGTGCACCCATAACAATTAGCAATGAGAAATGGTTGCAAACGGATTAAAGAATCGTTTTATTTACGATTTAAATTAAACAATAAACCCCCTTTCCTTCCTCTCCTGAGGGGGCAGAAAAACGAATTACTGCGCAATTGGAAAGGAATTAAACTCACTAAATTTCAGATTCTCATAAAAAATAACCTTTAACAAATTGCAAAATACGAAAAAAATAATGATTTGAGAGAGCGAGGGTTTGTTTTAT